TTTAAACTACTTGGTGACAGCTTTTTATTAAACATCCTGAGACCTTCTTCCCTCCACACTGCTTCCAAGACACAGTCTCCAGAAAGGTCAGGCAAACCAGATGCAGTATTCTTCCTATTTCTCAGGTTAAATAGAGGGAAGAAGAAAACTTAACAGAGTTTCTTCATATATATCACAAATTACTCAGATTTGTTTGTATAAAATAACTTATTATAAAGTTTATTAATAAACACTTTCCCTCCCCTCAAAGAGGCAAGTTCAGAGTTGCAACAAAATTGTATTTACTAATATACACTCTGAATTCAGTTCATTAAATGTGAGTCAAACCACAGTGGCAAAAAATGTGTCCCCTCTCCATCTACAATAGATCAGAAATTCACAAAAATCTAGCAAATATCATGAGGACCTATTCATAAACTTATTCTTAAAATTCAAGTCTACAAACTCTGTATATAAAATGCTAGGACTGACACACGATGCAGCACACCCCTGGTTTGCCTGCACAAGTCACTGAACACAGCACCACCAAGCTCTGCTCCCTGCAACTAATTCCGTCAGTATTTGAAGTCTCTGCCGTGACAGAGAAAGCTTCCCATGAGATCAACCTTAAATTACTGGAAGATCACCTCTTTCTAAAAAACTATACTCTAGAACAGAGATAATCCACTTTGCATAATGAAAATAATCAGGTGACAAGAATATGGCAAAGTTCAACTGCAGGCAAAGCCAGAAGCACAAGAGCAGTGGCTACATCCCATTACCTCGTTGCATGGTTACAATAGTCTATTGACAGATTAACTCACAGTCTGAAATGTTCACAAAGGTAACTAAGAAAGATTGTCAGCAGGCTTACATTTACCACAAAGGCATTCATACCCTCATCAGAAAACTTTTAAGGGCCTGAAAATCAAAGACAGATTGGAAAACACTGCACTAACAGAAAGCACATGGCTAAATTCTCTTCAGAGCTTCCCTAAGAAGTTGTAAAACAACACATTATCAGCCATGTAGCTAAATTCACAACCTACTGGCCTTACTACAAGATGAAAAGGTCAATGCCAGAACATTTGTTACTATCCAAGGCAACATGACATTGGGACCACTGCAGCCCTCAACACCCAAGGTCATTATCCTTCCTACGCTCTAATACTTCTCTTAACAATAAGGTATATCAAAACAAAACAAAGCTGGCATTGCAATCAAGCAAGACATGTCCACATGAGCTTAATCTAACTGTACACAGTACTATGCCTAGAGCAGCAGCTAGCGATTAGGGTACATACTAAGGAGATCTGTGTCTTGCCTCTACCATTACCCTTTTTATCACTCACTCCTGTTTTAAAGATTTTCCTTTCTTTACCATTTCCTCATTCTTGAACAGTATTTTAGCTCTTACTCCTCAATTGCTTTGACTTCTCAGCAGCATTTTTTAAGGTTCTGTGTAAAAAGACCACCTGACTCTGCAGATAAGTTCAGAAATAACGCAGTTAGCCTCCAATGTATCAGGTTCATTTAGAGGTTTTAGATTATTTGCAGGAAGACTTTTCAGTCATTTTCCTGCATCTGAGACGACAACAGTCCATTTCAGAAAGCCTGTATGCTACCACTGCAGCAGCTGAACTGCTTTATTCTAAAATTCCTCCAGAACTATTAGACTTCTATTGTCCAGCCCAAGTGACCTTGTAGATCTAACTAATTCACCTGTTCAGGCACCCCCTGTTCTTGACACATAAACTCCTGACAATACCTCGTCTTCCCTCACATTTCTCACCAGTAAGCACGGAACTGACATTCAATATGATAACTGAGCATTAGGGCTCCAAATCAACAACCATATCAAGGATTTCATGAAGTCACATGGCACAAAGTGCTGATTTTTCATACAGTAGATTTTTATTTATTTAAAAATGGATAATGAATCAGCTCAATACAGGAAGGCCCACAGACAAACCAAACCTAGTTTGTCCTGCCCACTGACTTGGCAACATTCAGGCCTGGTACTGAAGTTCATGAAGCCAGGTACCAATCTTTCTCTCCCTGTATTGATAGCAGGTCACCTACATTTATGCCATCCCTATCTTCTCTCGTTGTTCTTTACACTCATTTCTTTTGATACTACAAGCATGAGCAGACCTCTTGTTCCCTTTCACCCTCCTAAATTTAACATCAGTTTCTTTTTTTTGCTTCTACTTGGGTTTTTTTTTACATAACCGCTCCTTAGATATTTCACTACAACGTGCTCATGTGCTACCTAGTCACTCAACAATTAGCTTGTTCGATAAGGCAATCATACAAGGGGTTCAGGAAACACCTATTTCGATCTTAAATCACTCCATCATACAGCAAGTTCATACTGTTCTATTGTTTCCTGTAACTGTTCATTTGGGCCTTTCACTATGAAGACATCATCATCACACAAATATATCAGAAATCTTACTGATGTAAAAGCAATGAAGGGCTACAGAGAGACATATTCTCCCATAATCTCTGTAAGAAAAGCTCAAAAGCAAAGGTCCTTCTAACTGTAACCTACTCGATACACCAAAATGGAAGGCATACATTCTCACTAAGGATCCACTTCCTATGAAGTCATAGAAGAGATGCAGCCATGAATGAATTCCACCACAGGCCGTGAAGTGACAGGTTTGTTACAAAGGTTTTGGAAAACTGGCTTTGCCAAAGTAAGCTTCTCAAAAGACTTCTGCTATACTGACAGCATTTGACTAGCGTGAAAACTATGATCCCTGTCTCACTTCAGCAAGTAACAAGCTAATCAGATGATTCACACTGGAATTATGGCCACTGTAACAAAGTTTCTTCACAAGCTGTAACCAGAAAGCCTGTAAATATAAAGTTTGCTTTATTGAATCTAGTTCAGTATTTAACAGCAGAATCTGACAGAGCATCTCCATTCAAAATATAAAAAAAACAGATGCACAACACTGTGTGTGGTCAGAATCTAAGGAAGGGAAGCAGAGGAAGAATATTTCATAATAAAAGAGTGGATGATTTTGCTAAGGAAGGTCTAGTTCAGTTTCCTCTTTAAACTGATCATATTCAAAATACAAAATTACTGACAGCAACAGAGAGCCCACCACAGGCCAACAAACCAGACAAGCACCATATTGGTCACCTGGTTGGTATTCCTTGCAAGTCTCACGTGGAAGAACTTCAGGCTGTTTGAAGCAGTTAAGTTTCACCCGTGTGAACATAAGTAACTTTAGCCCATCTATTCTCTCTCAACAAGTTAGCAGAGACCAAACAGAATCTATACATATTTTCCAAGAGCATTTTAGTTGTACCTTTGAAGAAATCCAACACAATTGCTTATCTAATAAATGAGACAAGAAGGAATGTACAAGTAAGATGCCACCATTCATATTTATTGACACACAAGGAATGCACTACTAATATAAACAACACTCAAAGACAAGTCTGAAAACAACACAGAATTTTTGCTTGACAGCTGTTCAGGGATTTTCCTCCTAGCTAGGTTTTTTAGCTGTCAGAGCCAAGTATTCTTTTCTGAAGGGCTCTGACAAAATTAAAATTGTTTTCCCATGCTTCCTATGCCTTCAGTTAATATGAATAATATGCCATCATAATACTTAATTAGGAGAACATATGAAGAAAAAATGTTTCCATTTACACCCTGAATGCTTTGGAATCAACAGACATCAAAAGGGACAAGAACTTGTTTCTTATTTATCAAATCTTTAAAGATAGTGTGCTGGCACAGCAAGATAAAATAAGACCTTTCCTGATCAGAAGAATGAACATGGATGAAGAATGAAGAGGATGTACCATTCATAATTAAAGGAAAGGAAAACACTGAAAAAGCAGTTACCACTCAGTCCAATGGTTCTTGGGATATAATTACATGTAAAGACATCAATGAACAGAAGTGCAGAGCATCTAAAGGTCAACAACAGAATTTCTTCTGTTTCCATATAAATGTGTCAAGTAAAATGACAAGATATATACCTAGCAGAAAGATAAAAGAGAAACATAAAACACTGAGAAAGATATCGTTTTACTTAAAGATTGAAGTTCAAACTCCTGTTCTGCTTCTGACACACTCAGTAGCTCTCTAACAGAGAGGGCACTGAAGAAGATGGCTCTTGATACAGCTTTCCTAGCTGACACGCAGAAATCTACACTTCACATTTACTTGCTCATACGTTAAGATATGCAAACCCAAGAACACTCAGACCTGCACTGTTCTAATTGAAAGTTAAACTTAAGTTTCTAACACTGATGGGCAATAACTGGAAATACTGAATGCTTTGCCCGATTTTGATCTAGGCACATTCGCACACAGTCTGTCTGTAACGTCAATATTTGAGAAAACTGCGACTTTTAAGTTCAGATACAGTTATGGTTTTGGAATGCCACAAGATTCCAATTTCGCTGTAGGACCTGCCCCTAAGCCAAGCACCTTTATCCTGACTGCGACGAAATAGGGAGTGGAGGAACTAGGCCAGCAGATTCTTCCTCTCCACAGGGCACGCCTAATGGGTAAAAACCTCACCTGACAGCCTTTATCCCACTTTTGCCTTCGCAGGCACGAGCAGCCACAGCGGCGTGACAAGCCGAAAGGAAAGAGCCCCCGATCTCCGGAGACAAAACCCCGGGAAACCACCGGAAGGGAGGGGCGGGCCCGTCGGAGGAGGCCGGGGGACGCCCGCCCAAAGAGCTCAGGAGACCGCCGGTGGGTCCCGCCAATTCCTCTCAGCCCCGCAGGCCGGGGCAGAGGGGCTGCACCCTCCGGTCCCGGCGCGAAGAGGACGGGCACGGCGCGGGCCGCCGCACTCACCCTTGTCGAGGGGCCGCGTGAGCTCGGCGCCCACGTCTTCCTCGGCCGCGGCGCCAGCGGGCTTCAGCGGCAC